GTGCGCCCTCTGGTGGAGAAAAGTGGACAAACCTCCAGATCCCAACACATGCTCATTGACATCTTCCTGGTCACATGATGTTCTTATTGCTAATAAGAACATATGTTATATTTACTAACAATTCAAGGAAAAAAACTAAAGCTTAAAAGTCAAAAATATAAACAGAATGGAATAATTTGTCATAAAATGTCATAATCAGAATGGCATAATTTGTCATAAAAATATTGTATGTAATCAGATGGAGTTTTTGGTTTATACATTGAAATGGCAAATAACATGATTATGCAACTTTTTTAAAAGAGCTGTTATTTTCCTAAAACCAAAGACCTGATAAGTTTATTTCTAAGGCCTGAGAAAGGATAGTTTTTTCCTTAGACCAGAGGATTTCCTCAAATGTACACCTCCTGTCTGCTTTCATTTAAACATGTGTGGAAATCAGTAGAATATCTGAATTCATTGTGACCCGTTACTTTTGAACCATATCATCTGGACGTCGCCCTGTTAGCCTTCAAACGTGTTAAATGAAACTTTTTTTCTGTTCCTGACTCAGGTCAAAGAGTACGAAGAGGAGATCAACTCGCTAAAGGAGCGACTAGTGATGTCCCACAGGAAGCTGGAAGAGTACGAGAGGAGGCTCCTTTTGCAGGAACACCAGACCAATAAGATCCTTCTACAGTACCAAAACCGTCTGGAGGACAGCGAGAGGAGGCTACGACAACAGCAGGTGGAGAAAGACTCCCAAATTAAAGGAATAATTAACAGGTAATTGGAAGCTGTTTTTGGGATGAAGGGCAAGAGATGGCTCAGTTGTCTTTTCATTTGGATCATTTTATGTCGGAGAAAATTGTTTTTTCCTGGACATGTGATAAAAGTGGCATTTTTTTAAAATACCGAGCTCCTAAAATGTATTAAAATAAATCTAAGAAGTAGAGATGGATGGGTACAGAGTTGTTAAGGCAGCTAATGATTTTTTTTGACATCAGTTCAACCAGTTCCCTGATATTTGCTTTTTTGGTTTTGCTTTTTTTGGGAGGGGGGCTTTTTCTTGAAGCGGGTTTTGCTTTTATCTTTTCCTCGCGATGAAAACTAATGTTACGCAAGTCTAAATTTAAACTAAAAAGATTATTAACAAATCAAAGAAAACAACAGATAGCAAATAAGGGATTAATGCATGTGATCTCAATGCACGGCTGCTGAATGCACTAATGAATTAGTGTATGATAACGCGTATCTGGCCATGCCGATACAAGAGGAAAAAAACTGGCCCAAAATATCAGCAGGCCGATGTATCTGTCTACCTCTACTTAGAAGTTTTATTATTAAAAGCTTGAAGCAGGACTTTAAGGGAATATTTAGATTCATATCTAAGTGGAAGAACTTCTCTTTCTACCAGGTTTAGTATCTTGACAAGAATATAGCGTGAGAAGTTGTTTGTAGTTTGAATAAATCATACCAAAAAGCAACAGCAGGGAATTCAAAGACATTCCTATGAAAATGAACCATTTTATGGAGCGTATAGTTCTACGTCTTGTTAAGAGGTACACAGAGGATGTTGCCCTGATTGTTTCTGCCTTTCAAATCAGGCAAAAAAGCCTCTAAGCAGCAGCTACAGCTAACCTGTTGTCAAATTCTCACAATGTGGCTTGTTTTTTGTTAGCAAACAGCAGAGATCTGCAGATGAGGCTTCATTTATTGGCTGTTTTGGTGAAATATCAATGGGACCGCCTGCAAGAGCAGTTCTTAGCTTCTATTGATCAGCAGCAAATTAAGCGGTTCATGAGTAAGAAGCGGAGAATCGATTCTTTCGGCCTGGAAACCGAGATAGTTGCTGCGTTTTCAGATTTTATGTGAGGCCAGACATTAGCTTTGATCTCTGTTTTATTTATGGTGAGGGAAACAAAAAGTTTAGTTTAAAAGAGAAACGTTTGTTCACATCTTGTGATAGTCTGTGGTCTGCAACTGAAGGGTGGATATCTGTGACAGAGAATATTGCCACTTCTAATCCACTCCAGGAAAGAAGACTCGGAATGAAGACAGGGAGTCCTGCTCGTCTGTTAAGGGAAAAGCATCTCTAACGCTCTAACTGAGCTTGTAAAAGAACCTTAAACCATCCACCCTCCTCTCCCGTGCTGTTGCACCCACCAGCAGCCCTTTTTTTTTAAGAACATGTGCTCCTTTATTGGATTTTGGAATCATAGTTTTCCAGCAGATTTCTTTCCACTAAAGCACGAAAGGAATGACTATTTAATAACCTCAGTGGGGGGGAAAGAAACTGCACTTTTTAAATGATTGCTGTGGACTTAAATGCACAGGACTCTGGAAGACCATGGTTTGATTTTAGCTCTTCCACTTTTAACGAAACCCTGTTTCACTGAAGGACTGCTGCTGTTTCTCTGCACAGAAGAAACTTGGGGACTAATACTGCTCCACATTTTTGTACACATAGTATAAGGAGGACAGAACATCACAGAGAAAACTTGAATATCGGCATGTTAATTGCAAAGACTCGGGCTGAAAGTCCTAGAGGAACTATGGTGCATTAGCAGAGCACTCACAGCATCGCCCCGGATTATCCCCCTCTGGGGTATCAGTGATTATCGAGGCTTACACTTGGACCTTGTGTGTCATAGTTCGACCATCTAACCACACAGGGATGAATTAAGTAGCAGATCTGGAAGCTTCCGAGTCCGTTTTTTTACTCACAGATCACTGAGCCAGGCCGTGTGATAAAGTGCATTGCAGGACTTGTGCATCACCGGAGTTTAAATGCACATAAAGGCGATGCAGACAGAGTGCTTCATCTCAGGCCTTCCTGCCAGATTGAATGGACTCCAGAATTTAGGTGATTTAACAAGTGAAAGCATAGCCTTATGTTCTGTGTTACCCTCAGCTGACCTTCATGGGTCAGCTGATACCTTACAGTAGATTATTAAAGGTAAAAAATGCAAGCTCAGGTCTGATACTGCTCCTGGGTCAGCTTGCAAAAATCTTGTCTTTCCCTGCAGAAGTAAAAAAAAAAAAAAGTCTGCATGATTTTTGTTTCTTTAAAGTAAAGCCTTAATGCTCTGTGTGTGATTCTTAAAGCTCAGAGCAATGCCAGTACCTGTCAAAAGACCAGAACTGGTCTCAGCAGTCTTACTTAAACCAAAGCGACATGCTGGAGGAATCGTTTGGATTTCCTTTCTTCTCTAAGGTTCTATGCAGAGGTTATGAGTAGTTAATACCTTACTTAGAGCTGATCGCTTCTCATTTGACAGCAGCACAGATGAGAAGGAAGTTCAAACTAAAACGGGAGGCTAACGGGCCAGAATAAAGCGGATTTCTGATGTCGTTTTCAGCCTCATAAATGACAGGCGCTTAATTAACCCTGTATATTATGATTAACCCAAACTCCTTTATCTTATCTTATGGTTATGTACTAACCTCAGTTTGATGGCAAAAATAATTATGATAATACAAACTTAAATTAGGGAATATTCCTCATCAAAGCAGAAAAACGAACCACGGCCACAAAATTACTTGCCTATCTGGCATTGCTTTGGTATGGAGTGCTTTGAATAATTATGGAGTGAGTTTTGTTCCATTATTGTTGAAAGGAAAGACCTCATATTTTAAATGAAAATTTAGGGAAAAAAAGAACAAATCCCGATAGGAAACTTTGAAAAACTTCTTGATCAAATAAGGTTTTGATAGTAATTTAGCTGTTTTCTCATATTTACATTTTACAGCTTTTCTTTTTAGATATTATTTGTTGTTTTTCACATATTTTTTTGACACACACACACACACATACATACATATATATATATATTTATTTCTTTTGTCAGATTGAGTTTAACATAATGTATTCTTTTCAAAGTATATTCCACATTATCTGCGCTTCAAGATGGTGTTGCATTGGGCTTGAAGTGAAGGGAATGTGATCTAGAAAACACAATTTGACAAAAAAAGATGGAATTTGTAAAACTCAATCCATGACAGAGAATAAAAAAAAAATAAAAAATAAAATAAAAAAACATAATATCTGTCAGGTTTGGTGGTAGTTAGTTGAGGACCCAAATGCAGAGATGAGGAGGCAGAGATGATTTATTGCAGATTTAAATTAGATGTAGGTGGTAACAGAAGCATAAATCCAGAAATAATTAACAGGAAACCAAAACTAGGAGAGAAGCATGCAGGAATGAAGTAATGAAGAGAATCCAGCAATAAGGAACTGGAAAGGATATGGCAGACAGAACAAAGAATGGGCTAATCAGCTAACAGGGAGCAGGTGTGGATGGAAGCAACTAGAAGGGAGCTCGGGGAAAGGAGACTGGCACAAGGGGGCAGCAGAGAGTAACTCAAAAAATACAACACTGCATAAATATAACTAGAAAACAACTTGAATGACACAAAATGGAAAGGAAACCAATGACCAAGAAAACACAGAATTACATTAATAAAACTGAAAAATACATTTAAACATTAAAAAAAAGCCCAAAAAGATCTGAATCAATGGAAATATAAAGCTTTTAAATAAAGTCAAAGAAAGCAGCAAGTTGCTCTCATTTTTCTTATTTTCAGCTAAGGATTGCATCTTTTTAAATATGATTTTACTGAATGTGTTCTTTGCTTGACAAAAAATAATAGAACAAACTTCACTGTGAATTTTTTTAATCTACTCATTTTCTGTCTAAAGCATGAAAATCAACCATTATTTGCCTTATTGAATTTACCAGACCATCAAAACTCTTATGTGAGAAAATTACTGATTATAATAGAAATCCATGGCTATTTACAGTATAGTTTAAAAAGTGTGTAAACATTAAGACACGTTAAACAAATCCAACAAAATAAGCATCCATTCCGAAAAAAAAAGGGATAAAGGATTTCTATTGTAAGCAACATGGCTGTATGATCATTTTTTAGGTAGTATTTACGTAAACTGCACTGAACATTTTCAGGTGTGACTTATTTCTTAATAAGTTAGAACCTTCATAATCAATAAAACCCACGGTGATATAATGTATGTATGAACTACTAGTTACCTCTGTGTAGAACCCCTCATCACAAAGAAAAGAGACTGAGAATCCAAATGATTCCTTTAATTTCAAAGGACTGCTAGTTTAAATCTGCTGAACTCACTTTACTTGTAGCATATGTAATTATGAATATGTATATTTTTTGTTTTTCGGGAAAATACCTTATTAGTTGGCTACAAGGTTAGTGGCATTACAATCCTGAATATAGTTTAAATTTCTTTCTCATGCTGTTTGTTTTTAAATTAAAACAGAGGTCGAGAAAATCGTTGGAAGAGAATCATATCTATGACCTTTATTGCACCTACATAGTATAGTAATAATCTATTTTTGAGATAATCCATATCATTAATTACAGTGATGCAAGAGCCATAGTATTATCAGTATATAAATATATAGGAATATATAGTAAAAATATGAGAGTGAAATATTTTAACCTTGCAATAGCTAAGTTTTTAGCCGGAGAAGCGCAATAACAGCAACAATGTGTCTAAGAAGTGCTGTTTGTGCGAATGCACATGCAGGTTTCTGATATGTTGTTCGCATTTTCTGTACATAAAAGAAACAGTGACTACCTGCCAGACTCTTCTACCAGGTGCCATCCATGATATCTGAATAAAGACCTGGAGTACTGTAAAGTGCAAAATGCCACAGAGGCAATATTGACAACCGTGACGCAACTCTGACAAAATGCTAGTTCTGCAAAGTGTGTACTTAAGTTCCTTAAAGGTGTTTCTTTATTTGCTTTCATTGATCTGTACAGTGTTGGTGACTTATTTTTTCTTTCTGCTTTTTAAATGAAAGCCTGGAATGAATATTATTTACTGAACGCAAACCTGATTATTTATTCTTCTTTTCTGTGAATGATTTTGCTGTAAATGCTCGGTATGACCTTTTGACCTGCAGTCCGTCATTGGTGGCGTCCAGTGACTTGGTGATCAGAGTAGTGGATTGAGAAAGTTAGTCAGTAGTGTCATTTAATGTATGCAGTTATATTATAGCACTATTATTATTATCATTTAAACAGAAAAACACTCATTGACAAGAAACGTTCTGCAGCTAAAGGGAATAAGCTCATTTGGACGTCATTTCTTAGCTTTTTCAGGCATCCTATGAGTATCATCTTTAATTGGCCATGACTATGCATGTGCGCGTTGTGTGCACTGCAACCTGGAGTCAAAGTCCTTGATTGTGCTGAATAAAGATTATTCTAATTTGAAAAGGTAATTTGTTCAGTTGGTAATTAGCTGGTGTGTTTAAAAGGAAAAAAAAAAACGGAAGGCAGAAGCTAAGATCTCCTGAATGCAGTGAAAATGCTTAGCTTATTAGCATAGCATGTTGAAATTAATCCAGCACCTGTGCATGGATCAAAGTATATGTTGCAAACTTGTCAAAGGGGCTACTGTCTAACTCCAACATGCAGTGTATTCTCATTATCAGTTCGTATGAAATCGTACGAAAAGTTATGCACCGTAATTTTGTACGTTTTCGACGTTTTTTTCGTGGTATTTCGTTGTATTTTTAGGTCTTGCCTCGAGACAAGATATCCTTGTGCATGCGCATCTTACGCACCATTCAATAACATAGAATTTAGCATACAATTAACCATAACCCTAAGATACAAAACAGCAAGCAACGTAGTTAGAGACATGAAGAAGTAATTATTGCACTGTTTTTCCCAGTTTTACGTCCTTCCGCGGATCTGCTTTTTTCGTCTGTCTGGTTGCGCATGCGCACTGATCTGTTTATTCGAGGAAAAACGTCAAAAACGTACGAAATACTGTGCATAACTTTTCGTACGATTTCATACAAACTGATAATGAGAATATGCTGCAACATGTGTGTGGCTGGAAAAAAGAGGTTACAACCCAATCTATGGAGTGAACTTTGTGCCATTATTGTTGCTTGCAAAAAAAAAAACACACTTTTTAAACAGAAATTTAAAAATATATGCTTTTAGAAAATGTAATAATCCAAAAAAAAATTGAAAGTAGCTTTCCTGATTTCTAAGATTTTATTTTTTCACATTTTTTTTAAAACCTTATATTTTGAATTTTAATTTACAGGCTTTTTATGTTTAATTTTTTTTTCTAAAATCCCTTTTTCAGATTACATTTGATGCATTGCATTATTTTAAAATTTGTTTTGACAGATCACAACCTCCTCACCACAAGCACAATAAAATCGTGTAGCTAACCTTTCTCTTCGCTCTTCATTCCAGAGGAAATTGCGTTCCCAGAACTGAAGAAATCGTGATCGGGAAAATGCAATTTTAAAATAATGTTATTCCTAAAACTCAGTCTGAAAAAGAGATATTTGAAAAATAAAATTAGAAAATATTAAATCATTATATATACTAAAAAAGTCAAATAAAATCTGAGAAAAACGTAAAAGTAAAGTTACTTTTAAAACATTTTTTTGAGTATGTAAGCTGTTAATGTTTTCTTTATGTACTGCTTTATTTTTCAAAATTTCCATTTAAAAAACTTTTCTCTGTTTAAATTCGCAAAACATGTTCTTTGCTTGCAACAATAAAGGAACAAAATTCGCCCATATCACGCCAACATATGCCAGCTCCTTGTAAACTGAATTATTCACATAACCGTAGCTGGTTGTGCTCCATATTCCAAGGTCCAAATGAAAGCATTCCTTTTAGGTGCAAATGCCAGTGAGTGTATTTCCTTTCTTTTTTATGAGATTTGTTTTTTTTGGTTTTTTTTGGGGGGGGGGGTCCATATATCTGCCTCTATTTTGTAGCAAGAATATATATTGATAGGCTGTATAGATTGTACTGCAGCATATCTGATGTTTTAATCTTGCAAATTCCTAATGGTGGTGAGTTTTGGCTTGATGTGTGTGTGTGAGAGTGAATAATGGCTAATAGCAAGAGCCACAATTTTATTTATTAGTTGTTTTTTTATATAATTAAAATTTGTAACAGATCTGTGTCAAATAGCTGCAAACATTTCTTGTTTTGACCAGATTTTATGATGTTTGCACACTGGCTTGTTAACGGGAGGCGGGGTTTTCAATCAAAGAGTTGACGCTTTCATTGCACATCTTTGCAGAGGTCATTAAGAACCCATGTATCTGCAGCTGCTTTTTGAACCAGGTCTGTCTTTTCATTGACGCTACATCTTCAACTTTGTCTCCTGCCTTTTTTTTTTTTTTTTTTTATCCTCTGTAGCACAATATTCAAACATAATAATCTCATGTTTGGTACATGCATTGTTTTATTTTTGGTTAAATGTACGACTTGACCTCAAAAGCACACTACTTGAAGTGGATTATCTTTTGTGACATACCACCCACGCAAACCATTGTCTGCCTTTTGAAGTCATGTCGAATCTTAACGCTGTACAACCATGGTCCATTCCATTGTTTTCTGGGACGGTGCAAAATATTTCTGTCTGTGCTGATGGTTTATCTATTCTCTTCTTTTTGTAAAATAAATCTCAACTCTGTACATTATTCATGGAATAAAACATCCAAACACTTCTGTTTGAAACTTTCCCTGTGGATCTTCATTCTTTATTGTCAAACCTGTCCTCTGTGTTCTCAATTAAATATGAATGTGATTAAATGCTACCATAAGTGACTCAATAAGGCTTGATTGTGGTGTTCAAACCCTGATTTAATTCATTAGAAACTAATTAGTCTCATTTTTCAGAGCTGACCTTGTTATTCATTATTATAAAGACGTAACATTCCCATCTCAGTATTCAGCTAAATTGAAGACGGTTGCTGCTTTAAGACTAAAATGAATCCCTGAGAACGATAAAGCCATGAAATCTGTCTTTATTTATTAGTTTTCTGGGCGCTCATCACCAAGCAGCAGCCGTTCAGCCAGTTAGTTATGAGATAAGATATGTGTGAGAAATATCATTGGACGGAGTAAATCCCTGGCTCACGGATAATCACAGGGGCTGGGAAACATTCACGGCCCGCTGGCTCATGCAAACTGCAGCAACGCTTTTTGCCCATATCAGTAAAACGAGGCTTTGAAAATGATTAGTCAAAGGATTTTTCAAACCCGTGACTTGGTCAGTTTTTGTTGCATAAAATGAGACAATTCCCTAGGGATAATTTGGGATCTGGGACTGAACCAATCACCTCGCCGGAAGCCAGGCACTAATTTTCCACAGTTGGCCTGAGATTGCTCTTTGTAAACACCTTAAATTGGACACAAACGCTTTGATAAATCCCATGGGGGCGAGAAGAAAAGGCTGGATGAGTGGAAACTGGCAGGGCCTCATTGGGTCGCTGCTGCTCTGCTCTTATTGGCAGATTCAAAGCTTATCAGGTGTTGGGAATCCGATCTAAGACGCAGGTAACCAGGAACTTTCTCAGAAGGGTTGTGTTGAGTCGGATGATGGAGATGCACCTGCTCAACATCTTGTTAAGCTTAAACTCATGATACTCCGTCTCTTTCTGTCCCCCACCCCTACCCTCCTTCTCCTCCACCCCAATCCCATCTCTCTCTCTCTCTCTCTCTCTGCTTCCAAGACTCATGGCTGTGGAGGATGAAATAAGGGGAGGAGCCATTTATGAGCCAAAAACCAGGATTTTCGCTGATCAGGTCTGTGAGATTGCTTCTTCTCCCGTCGAGTCCGTATGTCAGCCCTTGTTTTTTTCCCCCTTTCTGCTTTCTTGTTCTCTTCCTTCCAACCCTTCTTTGCTGTTGTTATGATCCTGTCTGCTGCGTGTTTGCGCTCCCTCTCCTGACCGGCTTGCCCTGTCCCTGACCCGTCCTTTAATGTTTTTGGGTTTGAGTGTCATCCGTCTGCAAGCAAATCGGGGAGCTTTGGACGATGAAAGACTGTTTCTGTTTACATTCCTCAGCTCCAGCTGTTGAAAGTCAGCCTCAGTCTGTGAGCACGAGTATATCTGAGGTTTTGATCTGCAGCTTTGTCTGTCTGACGGGTTTGGGGTCAGAACCTCTCAGATGAAATGATGCAGCTATGTGCTAACGGTCCTGAGGTGGCGGCGTCTTCAGGAGCTTCGCCACAGCAGGGATTTTAATCTCATGGTCTCAGCCCTCCCCTCCTCTTACTCTGTCAAACTGCAGGCTCCTTTAAAGCATGAGTCATTCTGTAAATATAGCAAGTCCATCAAGACTCATGCAATTCCAGCAGTAATGTGGCTGAGAAAAATAGGAATAATCACTAATTCTTGTTAAAATCTGTGTCATTTAATTAAATCAAACTAATTTTGGATAGAAAAAGGAATCAGTTCCAGGATTAAAAAAATATACAACATTAATGTCCAGGTGTCTGAAATATTAATTATATTATTGCTTTTTGAGGTGTGCATTAAGTTTAATAAATCATATAATTATCCATAACTATTACATTCACAGAACTGCTACAGGATGCAGAAAAAAAAAATATGTCACTTATAAAAATGGTATATAAATAAGTGTTTCAATTATTTCTGATGGGTCCAGAAAATATAAATATTTAATTCTGGTTAAGATGCCAATGTTCACTTTAGAGGATCTGCACCAATAGGAACAGAAGGTTTAAATCACATGAGCATAAAGGGGGCGTGTCAAAACCCGATCCGTACAATTGGCTTATTTGTGCAACCAGATAAACACCCGGGGCGCCCTCAAATTTATTTCATAAAGAAGACAGTACGCTCTCCAATATTTGGTGAGCGTACTGTAAGTTAGGATGTGTTAAATGTTAATAATTCATTTCCTGAGAAAGTTTTCTCACTTGTCTGCGCCGGAAATGCGTTCCTACGCTACTTCCAGGAGATAACTTTTCTGCTTTGGATTGAAACATAAAATTTTGTCTTTTTGAGTTTTAATTAAAATAACTCTCCTCAAAATGTGAATAGTCCCACACATTCTTATCTTCATACTTTCGACCTTGTGCTGACATATAATTGAATTAAAAGTCCTATGTACAGTACCGTTAAACATTTCATAGCATTTGCCAGCCCTGATCTCAGATCTGCCAATGCTAATGGTAATGCTAACACTAACCTTTGGTAATTTCTCGGCTCTATTAATTCATTTCAATTCAGTTTATTTATACAGCACCAATTCACAACACATGTCATCCCAAGGCACTTTAGAGTTCACCAGATCATACTGTCAAATCGATTCAAAGTTTCTGTCTAAGGAAAACCAGTTGATTGCATCGACTCATTGACTCAAATGCAATCCCTCACACTAAGCATGCTTGTAGCGACAGTGGAGAGGAAAAACTCCCTTTAAACAAGAAGAAACCTCCATTAGAACCAGGCTTAGTGTGAGCGGCCATCTGCTGAGGCCGACTGGGGTTAAAGGAGACAGAAGCAGAGATACAAAAGGCAGCTGTAAAAGGCGGCCCCGTCCAGGAAACACACAGCCAGGCAGACGAGCCTCGAGCCAGCTCCCATGTCAGAGGATGAAGAGAGCACATCCAGCCAGTCACTAAAAAGTTAAGGAGCTATTAGGATGTTGCAACGGCTGATCTCTGTCTGAGCATTACTATTGTAAATAATACGAAACAAAATATAAATAAAATCATATAATGTACTAATCCTATTAGTGTTAACCATTTCCCGTCAATGTTAGCATTCAAACAAAGGTATTTATTCATTTTGGACCCGTCAAAATTCATAAAATTCATAAAGAAATAACTATTTTCTTTTGAGTAAAATTAATACTTTTATCTGCTCCAATCTAGACATTATCTGGATGTATTATTTTTATAAAATTGTTTGGATGAAAGATATATTTCTATTACCTTTAACTGAGATGCTAAATATATTTATTAAGAGGCCCCAGAAAATTAGCAATACTGTTAACAAGAATCATTGTTTCCATTCGTGCAAAGACACATATTCATATCGAAGAGGAGCTTTTGAACATTTCAGTGCTAATTAGGGCTAAAACTAAAAAATACTACTTATCAGATATCAGGAATATTTCTGCTGAGGTAGAACTTCAGTTCTGATTAATAAATGCAAATAAATAAAGAAAGAATGTTACCATTAAATCAGAATGGACATCAGCTTCTTTTTTTTCAATTGGTGCAGATACATAAAATGTGGAAACGGTTCACGTCCAAACAGATTTTGAATATTAACGCATTCAGAGACCGTCTCTAATATCTCTCATGCTCCACCCTCGCTTTTTATTCACAGATTTTTTGTGTTGTCTTTATTTCTCAACCTATTTTTCATCAGGTCATATTTTCAAAGATTGCTAAATTAAAGACTATAAAAAAAAATCAAAGAAAATACTCATCAGAGATCCCCCCTCCCCCCCCCCAGCTTTTCTTCAAAGCAGCAGAATTTAAAAAAAGCTAATTAAACATGCAAGTAGGAAGAGCTAACAGAAGCTTAATTTGTTTTAATCACATTTAAAGATACAGCTTTAGAGCATTTCAGCTGAATTTCTCTGAACCGCTTGATGAACAGTTTCTGCAGTGGTTCTCTGCAAACTATGAACTTTTATTTTTACTATAGATCGTATTTTTAACTTGGTATCACTGAATTCTTGATTATAAAGAATTACTGAAGACTATTATTAGGGGTATAGGGCATCTCTCTGTCTACTGCAAAAATACAATGACTTAAAATGTGTGTATTTTTATTAGTGTTAATTGTTTAAATCAGAAGGAACCAAAGCACTGAGAATCTATTTAATTTTTAAAATGTTTTTCCTTCTTTATGATAAGTTAAAACTAATTTTATGAAGTATAGTTATTGACCTGGATAAAGAACTTCAGGTATTGTCAGGAATTTCTTCAACCGTTTCTTAAAATCCAGTATAACCTTCGGTATAAGTTCAAATTTTCACAGTTAAATACTTTCTAAGGTATTTTTCACTTGATTAAATAATGTATGATAATAAGATAAATATAAGTATTCTTGAAGTCACAATATTTATAAAACAAGATTACTTAAACTATCTGTTTGTGATGGCCTCTAGTGGCCTCTAGTGGCAAAAACAGAAAGTTGCATCCAAATCAATATTTTGAATTCAATTAATAATTTTTCTTTGTTCTGTTTGGCTTTTTTTTAAGCAACGTTGTGAAAGTTATCCACCAGGGGGCGCTTGATCTGGAACTTCCAGGTTTAACAACGTTGCACTGTGGCTTAATGAACTGGTTTCCCTCTGCGTTTTGGAATCTCCTAGCAGACAAATTTAGAAAACATGGAGTTCCTAGTTAATTCAAAGCTAAATCCTACATCTGAGAACTAAAAATGTGTCTAATCTGGTAAGGTTCTGGTCTGTTTTATTAGCTTAGCTTGCTCTAATGTTTAAGGGGAGAACAGCATCCTGCACAGAGAATCAATATGCACCAAGTGCTGTGTACTGACCTAAAATAAATCATTTAATGTATCTCAAGCTAAGCTAATTCTGGTTTCATAGTGTTGCTTTAACAGCGTGTTTTTCTGACAATATAAATGGTTTTGCTATGCTACTAAAACCATTAAATTATCCCAATAATGCCCTATTTCCCAGTAGTAAAACAATAAAGAACTGTCTCATTTTTATTTTAAATCTTATATTTACTTTAATAAACGGAAATTTAATTCTTGAAATTAGAGCAAAACCAATTGTTACCTTCTAGAAAAGAAAAATAAAGTATTTCATTATAATTATATTATATTATTAATTAATTAAAGCTAACTGACATTGTATATATATATATTTTTTTTTCTTTCTTTTTTAACAAAGGTTTATTTCCTTAAGTCAAGATTATATTTTTTTCAGCTCTCTCTGACGACTTCATAAAAATCCTGATGTGTTTTTCTGTTTGTGGTTTTAAAGATAAAGTGAAATATTTTCTGAGATGTTTTACCTGTAATTTTCTCTGTCTAGAGTTGGTGCATGTTTAAAATAAGCATGTTCTTTCTTCAAGCTGTATTTTTTTCCTTTCTGAACCAGGGAATGTTCCAGATTCAGCTGTGAAGCCAGTTAATCAGCCGTTATCACATCCAGATGTGGTTTTGGAGTTGCACGATAATTTAACACCTTTTTTGTTTTTCTTATTGCATGACTCCTGCTAATGTTGAACTGCATGGCATGCTGTTGTGATGCCTTCCGGCTATTAAGTATCTAAAACCGTTTTGTGTTTTTGCTGTCTTGTTCCGTTTCTGTATGTAAATGTGCTTCAGGAAGGATTTTCTGTCTTTATTGATGTTCTTGTTTTCTCTTCACTTTGTGTTGTGCATTGTGTTTGTTATGTTTTGGTGGCTGTTGTATTTGTTTTTCCTTCGACCCTAAACGCCACTCTGAATCCTTTCGTGTTGCACACAAGCTTTCCCTCCTGATTTTGGCTCCCTCCTACTTTTAGCCTTCCTTTCCTCTCCTTTCCTCTCCTCTCCTATGTTGATGAGATACGGTGATTTCTCTTAGGGGAGGCGTCAGTCCATCCTAGTGCAGCCCCGACTTGCGCCTGTCCCACCCCGAGTAGCCAGGTAATAACCCAAACCGCCAATCTCTCTCTCTCCATCCATCATTGCTGCTTCTTCTCCACCTCCACTGTTCTCTGTGTGCATCCCTGTCCATAAGCAGCCCCCTGTAAAACCCGCAGCAGGCCGACACACTGACAGCCCCACTTTCTTTTCCCATTCATCTTCACTGGAAAATACAAAGAGGTCTGTCACAGAATATTTGCACAGCGTTTACGGAAGGACCTGAGGGGAAAAATGTCAACAAATCATTTCAGATATGAAAATTTGTGCACGACTCAGGAGGCGGTGTCCATCTGAAACCAAGAATCCTGTGGTGTGGAGGTCCTTCAGAGGCTGCTACATAAATCAAGCTTTGCAGCTTAAATACTCCAAACAGCCGACATTCAAAAACGCATAAAGATTATTTTATATAACAATTATATAACAATCGAAAAACTAAATTACACAAGCAGTTGTTGTCATTATCTTAAAGGAATAGTACACTCAAAACATGATTAGCCTTCATTTTCTACTAACCCCCATGCTGAACAACACTCTGGAGTACTTTTTTGATATCTCAAATGCATCTGGAGATCTGGGAGGCTTCTTGCTGTCTGCTGACATTCAAATAATGGAGGTCTATGGCGCCCGAGACAGAAAGGTCCATAAAAGTCCACAAAAAACGTGTCAATATTCCCCCATACTGCTCGTCCAATGTATTCCAAGTGTCCTGAGTGGGTAGCATCCAGAATTTACTCGAAACGAAGTCATTTAGAATGTTTTTAGAGCATAAACAGTAGTGTATAGGATTTCCTGAAAGCGCGCGCCTGCGCGCTCACGACGCTACGGAAGCCGGCAGACCAAACCAGATGAAAGTGCGCATTCAGCGTCTGCTCTGCCGATAATGCAAGCGTAGAAGAAGAAATGTGCTGTTTACCTGTGCAAAGAAAGAAACAACGAAAGAAAAATGTCTGAGGACTTCAGTGTTGAGGAAGAGCATGAGTTCTTTGCCGAGCTGAATGCGCTGGTTTGGTCTGCCGGCTTCCGTAGCGTCGTGAACGCGCATGTGCGCGCTTTCAGGAAATCCTATACACTACTGTTTATGCTCTAAAAATATTCTAAATGACTTCGTTTCGAGTAAATTCTGGATGCTACCCACTCAGGACACTTGGAATACATTGGACGAGCAGTATGGAGGAATATTGACACGTTTTTTGTGGACTTTTATGGACCTTTCTGCCTCGGGCGCCATAGACCTCCATTATTTGAATGTCAGCAGACAGCAAGAAGCCTCCCAGATCTCCAGATGCATTTGAGATATCAAAAAAGTACTCCAGAGTGTTGTTCAGCATGGGGGTGAGTAGAAAATGAAGGCTAATCATGTTTTGGGTGTACTATTCCTTTAAAGGTTATTTTGTTGGAAAACATCAATTACATTCATGTAATTCAGTATTACTTTCTGGAACTCAGATTACTTATATAGGTTACTTGGACTTTATGCAAGTTATCACTTAGGTCAGAGGTTCGCAACCTGCGACTCCAGAGCCACATGTGGCTCTTTGGACCCTCTACAGCAGCTCTCAATAGTGGCTAAAATTTATATAAAGAGCTAAATAATGTACTATATGTCAGAATGCGGTGTTGGTTTGAGGACCCAAATGCAGAGACAAGTAGGTTGAGATGAATAAAGTGGTTTAATTAGGATCTCAGGTACTGAGGCAGGAGTCAAAAATCCAACAAAAAGCTCAAGAACCAGAATCCTGGAGACATCAGGGAAAAACCAAAAATCTAATAACTAGGAAGAGATGAGGAAGGCAGACAGAAGATGATCAGAGGTTGACGAGTAGTAAGACGAGGATCCAGCAAACAAGAACTGAAGAGGGAGGGCTTTTAAAGGGGACAGAGACAGGGAGAGGCTAATGAGGGAATTGAAAACAGGTGAGAGCAAAACAGAAAACAGAGCAAGAGAAAGAGGACACAAGAGGGCAGCAGAGGATAACAAATGAAAAGCTGGAAGACAGGAACTAATAAGAAAACAACAACAAAATAATAATCAAATAACTAGGATAAAGAAACATGGTGAAAAGAAAACTAAACACTAGCAATCAAGGAGCAAAAGAAAAACATAACAGAAACAGAAACCTAACACTATAAGATAAATACCGGTCTTAAAAGCTTTAGTGGGATTTATAAGATGGATAAGAAGAACTTTTAAAAGAACCAGAAATATGTTTTTAGAGCCCATTTTTCTTTTAATTAGCTTGGAATTTCTGTGTTTTTATACTATTTTAAAAGCTAAAAATACATACTCTGCAAAAAATGAAATCTCAATAAGTAATTTTTTCTTAAAATAAGTGCATTTTTCTTGAATTGAGGAGGTAAGTGAGACACTTTTCCGATGGAACAAGACAATTTACGTCTAAAATAAGAAAAAGTAATTGCATTATTATTATTTCAAGTGAATAATATCTAATTTTCTTATTTGAAGAGTAAAAATACCGATTCCATTGGCAAATCATCTGATTTACCTACTAAAATGAAGGCTTAATACACTTATTTTAAGCATTTCTCACTTCTTTCTAGATCGTTTTTGCAGTGTAAATTGTTGTTTGTTTAAGATGGCAACTAATTTCTTAAACGAGATAATGAAAAAAATAATAAAACAGGTTGTTTTCTGAAGAAGTCATTCTTTGCGGCATCAAACAACTTTTACCTGTTTGACCCGTGGGTCAAAATGACTCTTGGATATGAACGGTTGCAGACCCATGACTTATGTTTATCACTTAAAAAAATAAAATAAAAAATTGTCACAGGAGAGAAATGACCAGAGCACAGACCTGGAGACTGAGGGAAATAACTCCAGGAGTCATTCATGCAGCACCTCTATTTTGTGCTGGCATTACAGCGGCCCAATCAGTATCAAGAGCGACTCATGCAGTATAAATTCTCATTTTATTTCTAATTTTGGAACGGTATCAGAGAATGCGTCACGCAGGCTGAAGGAGATCTGGAGGAGTTTAAAAGAGAAATTAAAAAGAAAAAAGAACATTTAGAGAACAGAGATTTATGCAGCAACATGAATGTATCCCACTGAATCCATCGGTGTCTTTGGATGACAGATTTCTGTGGATTTTTGGTTTGCAGGATAGAGGGTGTTACCTATGCACTGAAAAAAATCAAAATCTAGATAAGTAATTTTTCCTCAAAATAAGTGCATTTGTTATTGCATTTTTTTTTCTAATTTTGGAACGGTGTCAGAGAATGCGTCACGCAGGCTGAAGGAGATCCGCAGCGTGTTGCATCACTGATGCTAAGCAACAGAAAGCGGATCAGGGTGGATTTCAGTGCTGCGTTCACTAAAGAGCGGAGGAAATTGTTTGGAAACAGGCTGGAGCGTCTAAAGAAGTGGGTTTTGGTCTTGTTCTTTGGTCTGGACCAGGATCAGTGGGAGTCTTTTACATCGAAGATTTGATTACTCATGTTCTGAGACCTGAGATGTAAAGTAACAAAGTACAAATACTTTGTAGAAATTTTGTAGAAATATTTCTATCTATACTTTACTGGAGTAATTATTTTTTTAGGTAGCTTTTGACTTCTACTCCTTACATTTAAGAAAATAGACCAATTAGTTTTATTTCATTTATGTTCAATTTCATTATGGCTTGTTAGTATAAAAAAAAAATAAAATCCATCAAACTAATTCGTTTCATCCAGACAATTAATTTCTTTGTGGTTAGACTCGGTGCTGCCCCAACCTGTTGTTCACCATATACAAAAAAAAAAGCTTTTCAAGATGATACGACGTTACATTTCACACAGCTAACAGTTTTAGTTATAAAACTAAAAAAATTCCGTATAATGTTTATTTTTATTATTTTGATTATATAATAATCCAAATAGCTGCCCTTATTTTTTTTTTTTTTTTTGAGATTTAGACTTTTTTCATTACATTCTACAAATATGAGAAACTCAAGGTAGATAATATTTGTAGTTTATAATTTTATGAAGGCATTAGTTGTTGCCATGTGGCCAAGTTATTCAGTAGAATGAGTCTCTAATTAGAGTTTTAGTTTCTTTGTGGTAAAAGATTAGATTAGATTAAATTAACCTTAAACCTCTATTCCATAGTGAAAATGTGAGGCGAATCAAGACATTCCTGTTTTCTTTTTGGACTGTTTTTAAACATAATCAAAATAGCTGCCATTACACATTACTGTGGCATTTTTATGCTGAAGTTCTTTCCAGCTGAAGTTCTCAGGTGGTTTCTGAAAGTTACAAGGTTCTTTAAAATCACTTTGAAAGTTAGACAGAAATGCAATTAAATTAGAACATTTATATGCATTTTTTAAAACGTATGTACCTTTAAATGCATGAACTTTATAATACGCAAGTATTTTCAAAAGTGAGTACTCTAATACTTTAACTTGAGTAGATGTTTTATTGAGTAACGTTTACTTGTAGTTGAGTAAGATTTGATTACGAGTATCAATACTTTCACTCAAATACTACTGTTGAATACTTCATTCACCATTTTTCCTTAGAATCTCGCTCCATTAATAATCTGTTAGTTACTAAGCTAACTAACTACCTCTACTTCTAGTTTATTAAAACAAAGCGTGACCTAAATTTATGACAATACTTTTTGTATTACGGATGGAAACGTGGCCATTTCCCATTTTCTATTTGTTTCTTTGACATGTTTTAAATTTTGCTCAAACTTTGCTTGACATTTAATAATAATAATAATAATGAATTTTATTTATACATTTACTTTACATTTGACTTCAAATCTCAAAGTGCTAAATTGACGTTACCCTCTAGAATGGACGTTTTCTTTTTGGAAAGAAAACTGTCAGATCTGGAGACAAATATGTATTATTTTACAGATATTTTACAGAATAAAGATATGTAAGGTATTCCCACAGACTTCAGTATATATTTTATAGCATAATATTATGCAGTATTGGTCAAATAAATTATAATAATTGAATTCTGTATTTGTTTAATTTAGTTTTATGTCATCC